GACTGAAAAAAATGTTCAAATGGACATTATATAATTCATTAATAGTGATGATTAATGCCAGCCACCAAGTTAACTTTGACTCCTAGTGACCACATAGGTAGATTTTCTACATGATAATCTATCCCTAACCTGTTCTTTCAAGTCTCTCAGCAGTACACTCAATAAAAAAAAATTAAATCCCAAAAGTGAATGCTGTCTGCATTCTTTTAATCATAGATTTGATACACTGTTATCTTGGTGCCAAAGATTGTACCATATTATTTCTTAGATAGATTGCCATTTCTTTGCTTGAATATCTAATGTGTATTGTGTAAGCTTTCTTTTATTTGGAGAAAAATCATTCATGAAGTTTTTTGGCACAATGTTTGGAAACGATAGAAATCTCCAATACCACATGGGTTAATTTGAATTGTACTCTGGGATGATTTATGCTGTGAATTCTTTTGAAGATAATTGAATAAGAAACTGGGCAGAACTCAACCCCAATATACTTGCAGATCTGATCTTGTGGAGATTTGACTTTACAACCAGTACGTTTTTTTTGTATTTTCTCCTGTTCAATCATGTCCAATTCTCAGCAATTGCTTGGACAAGTCCCTGCAGTTTTCTTGGCAAGAATTTTCAGAAGTGGTTTGCCCTTGCCTTCTTCCTAGAGTTAAGAGAAAGTTACTTAGGCACAAAACCAGCTGGTTTTGTGCCTAAGAAGAAGGCTAGAACACAAGGTTTCCCAGTTTCTACCCTGATGCCTCAACCATTGTACCAAACTGGCTCTCATGTTTGTTGTAGTAACTTTCCAAGTCTTCAACAACTTTCTACAAGGCCTGCTCTTGAATTTTGTTCATGGCTGCCATAACTCTGGATGGCAATCTTCAGAATCTACATTTAAGGTTGTTTATGTGACAGATAAAAAGGAGGTCAAAAGCAATATTATGGTTCTTCTTTGGGGCAAAGAGACACTTGTGCAGCTAAAATGTTCAATACTAACATGGCACACAAACAAAAGAACCAGGCTGCCACATCTACAAAGATCTCTGAAAAAGTAGGTGTTAGGTCAAACAAGTCTTTACAAGTACAGTCATCCAAATAGATGTGATTTCAGGCTAAAGTGCTATGTAACAAACAACAAGCTGTCTGCACTTTTTCTACTTCCCACGAAGACAGAAAGTGGAGCTTCACTTTGAGAGCATCTTTTGACCGGTAGCTGACAGGACCAGGTGTTTTAATCTTCAGGCACTTTGTTTTCCGAACACCCTGTGAATATTGTCTTGCTCTGCACTGAAAATGCAATAAGTCTAAGAAAACTTAAGTACATTCTCTGTTTCACCATAACAGACTAACAAACTGTTGTGATCCTTTCCAAAAAACATGCTTAGATATAGTGCTCTGTAGATCTCCAAGGAAGGATCTTCACTGAAGTGGGAATAAATGAATTAATCTTAAAGGAGCAACAGGATCCTTTATTGTGTTCGCTGGGGGAAAACAAAACACAGCTGGTTTTTCTGGAAATTCTTCTTTGTGATTTGAGGCTTTACCTGCCAAAAGCCATTGTAACACATTTCACTGTGACAATTCTCACATTCTAGCTCTCCTTGAAAACTAAACTTGCCCCTCCTTCCACCTTCATTCAAATTCAGTTTCTGCAAACCCAAGACTTTTATGCATTGAAGCAGGCAGGATAGTAGTTTTACCAGATATTGTTAGTGTCTTGGTTCTTTTTTGATGTACCGGTTTAACTCGATAGACTCATCGAGTACTTATAGCAAACCAATACTTGATAGAGAAGGGAAAACAAATGAATATTATTTCTGCCAGTCTTTCCTTTTGTCAGCTCTTTCTGTTCTTCATTTGCAAGCAGACAAAAGCAGAATGATAAGGAGCGGCCTTGCCTGGTTCTCAGCAAGCTCCCCCTCCAGCATGCAGAATTTCCTCACTCTCTCCTGGAAAACTGAATTTCCTTTTGCGCTTGTTTAGGCATCTCACTCAGCCGTTCCAAAGGCCCTGAAAAAGCACCAGGAGAAGAAGTCAGCAGCTTGGCAAGCTTTGCCTCTTGGAAACTTTGTAATGCAGGAGACAGTGCCCGCCATTGTGCAGCCTTTCTGCAATGGATGGGAGTAAAATAAGCTTGAATGAGTGACTCACTTCAGGGGTACATTGATGTTTACATTTGTCTTGCAGGACTTTGCATATTTTCTTTGGAGGCCTAATTTCAGTCACCACAAAAGTAACTTCTTTTTATATATATATATATATATATACTATTTTCTTTCACGACATGGATCTCATTTCTTCATCCATCCATTCAGACTAGTATAGCTTTCCCCCTCTAGAGGCTTCCCTTCATCCCAGCCATGGATTTCAGCAGTTCCATCTCTCCCGCATTTGTTTGTGTGAATGTTCACAGAACCAAACTCCAGCCCATAATTTCTTTATGTGTTTTGGATAGCCCTCCTTCTCCTCTAAGAATTCCCTTAGCCAAGTAATTAAGTATGTTTTTCTGGTTTTGATCCATTGTGATGCTGTTGGGAGTTTTGACTATTTTGTAAGGATGGGTTTATCTTTTATTCAATCATTTTTTAAAGATATTCTTCATTATTAGCTAGTCAGACACTTCAGGAATAAATGGCATCAAATATAGTAAGGAAATGGACCAACATAAATGTAGCAATGAAAACGTAAATGAGCTAAAATTTAAAGAAATGTTTTAAAAATCAGCACAGAGAAGCATATCGGAAAAACCACTATCAAAATATTTTTCTTAACTAATAAACTGTGCCTATTACAGTAGTAAATATCAGAGAGTTATCCACAAAACACATACATACTTTTAACATAAACAGCACAATAAAAGAATGCCACAGGAATTGGAAATTGAATCTCCTAAACCCGTGATGGTGAACCTATGGCACGTGTGCCACAGGTGGCCTAGCATGCGAAGCCATATCTGTGGGCACACGAGCGTTGTCCTAGCTCAGCTCCAGTGTGCATGCGCGGGCCGGCCAGCTCATTTTCAGGCTTTCCGGTCCTAATGGAAGTCGAGAAATGAGCCGTTTCCAGCCTCCAGAGGGCCTCCGGGGGGTGGGGAAGGCAGTTTTCACCCTCCCCAGGTTCCTAGAATGCCTCTGGAGCTTGTGGAAAGTGAAAAACGGGCCTACCAGGTCCACCATGCCATCACATGCCAAAAGTGTGGGGAGCGCGGGGGGAGTACCATGCGCATGCGTGGGGGCGGGGCTCATTGAATTATGGGTGTGGGCACGCATGTGTGTGACCCCCCCCCCGTGTTCTCCCTACTTTTGGCACGCGACGGCAAAAAGGTTAGCCATCACTGTCCTAAACCTTATTTTGACTCTCAATAATGAGCTGCAAACTGAATCAAAACAGGACCCTGGGGAGGCTGGGCCTGGCAAGCTTTGCCTGAATTGTTTAACTTAGTACAGTTATATTCCAGTCAACATCCTTGTTGCAAACACCTAAGACTCCTAGATGGGAAAGTTGTTCCTTCTCACCTACCTTAGGTCTTCATATTTATCTCCATTGGAGATAAATAAATAAAGATAGTGCCAATGTGTGTTGATGCCCTAGCTAACTCAGTAGGTCAAGTAATATCAATGAGCAGAATACTATTGAATGAGGAAGCTTGAGAGACTGATTTTATGAAATGATTGATTGATTGATTGATTATACCTACAGTATATCTGGTTACAGAAGTTTACTTTATCATGCTGGGTTTTATGTGTTTGACTACCTTCTCTCCTTTTCTTTTTTAAATGGCTTTACTCATAACTGGAGTTGGAGGAGGGGATTGTATCTTTAAAGAACTGTCCTTCCAACATGCCTAGGTTCTGTTGAGTTAATTTGCCTAAGAGGAAAGTAAATGAATGCAGGCTACATGGCTCTCTTCCTCCCAGAGGCTTAGTTTGGCTTAGAGATTCCCTTTCCCAGAGATCAGAGAAATGGCAACTGGGTGTGTTTGCAAGTCAGGGATGAGCAATTATTTAGGGATGGGTAGCATTTTGGTGATTGGAAGCAAAGTTTCATTTTGCCAAGTATTTTGGCAAAGTATTTTGACAGTACTTTGAGTATTTTTCCTGACCTTAGAAAAACGATATCAAGTCAGCCATATGGCTCAAGGTGTAACTTGTTTTTCCCCCTCAAAATGGTGGGAAATTATATTGCATCTAAATATGAAACTCTGTAGTATTAAAAAAAAGAAAACAAAACAAAAGAGAGCTGGGCTTTTCAAAGTTGACCTATTTAATTTAAAATATTTAAAGAGGAGAAATATGAAAGTGGAATCCATGCATTTTTTAAGTTAGTTCTTCAGCTACTACATACAAACTGATTGCAATTAATAAACATATAATTAATAAATTATAACTAGGGGTTATAGGATTTATTTAATAATTTCATATGTGTGTATTTATGCTAATCTTAAACTGAATCTGTTTGTAAAATTATAGAAATTGAGATGGGAGATTACATGCATTTTCCTGTGCTTGGGCAGAAAAGCAGGAATGTTGAATTAATTTGTTAAATACTGAGAATTTTTAATGTGGTCTTTTGTGCATGTATTCTTAAAATTGTGTGTGGGAATGTGTTAGAAAAATACCTTTTTATAAAACTCTATCTCCCATGCTTGTGTTTCTTCAGCAAAATGGAAATATACTTATTTCTCAAGCAGAATATAAAAGTCATTCTTTCTATTGCTATAATATCTTGAGACATAGGTTTCCACTTACATTTCATAAATCAAAGAGGAATAAAGAGTTAGCTAATACAATTAAACCATACACACATCAGTTGTCAAAACAGGCAATACACTGAAATGTTTTTGAAATGGCCCCAGAGAATGAATGGTTGAATTAATAAAACTGAGAAATCAAATGTTGTCTTTTAGAAATAAATCTATTCTTCTCCAATGGAGTTTTCTTTAAAGTGTATCTATTTATGAGATTTAAAATAATTACAAAGAATAATTAGTTTATGTTTTTGGTTTCTTTCAGGGATGATGGTGGTGATCGTATTATTGCTGATTGCTATTGTGGTTGTTGCTGTGTGGCCTACAAAGTAATCAGAGATTATCTCATTTTGCAACTAAGTATTAATAGTCATCTATAGCAAGGACAACCCCACTTTGTTGTTGGCACTGTCCATGGATATAGCTGTTCTCACTCCACTACAAGAGACAGATCTATGCCTGAGCTGCATAAAGATTTTACAAAATTCTGTATAAAACTTTGTATACTCAAGAACATAATTGGAAAAGAAATGACTCATCTGAATAAACTTCAAGGCATAAATTGAAATTAATTTCAAAGAAATACTTCGTCTATAAATGCTTCTAATAGTACTAAGTGGAACTTTCTCTTAATCTCTGCAGTGTCTAATTAAAATATTAGCATTTTCTTTTTAACATTAGTTCTTTATTGCTGAAATAAATGGTTCTTCCTGAGAGAATGTCAAAGATTCAAGAGAAACTACCATTTTTGAAGAGTGAACATCTTTCAAATAAATAAAAAATCTACAAAATCTTTGACTTGAGTCAGAGGGCAATTACTATTGTAAAATGGTAACTATCAGATATATATTTTGGAAAGAAAAGATGAAGTTTCTGTCCAAAAATGTAGAATCAAACATATTATGTTAAATACCTGGATTTCTTTACCAAGGTACATTAAAAGCAGGGAAGAAATGGAATTACTGTAGATATCCAGAGTTTCAAAATGTGTTTTTTTCTATATACATGTTCTGAAAGTAAATGAAAATTATTCTCTTTAACAGTATTGGCAGGAAAATGACTTTACGTCTCTCTGTAACTTGCCCTGAACACTCAAAATCTACAGTGAAGGATTAGCAAAGCACATTTGGGAGAATGATGAGGGCTTCAAGGGAGACAAATCCTGTTGCGTCAACATCTTTCTATGTATGCAACACTGGATTAAAAACCCCCGTGTTAATCCATGTCCAGATACTGTTATTTTTGCTGTATATATATTGACATAATGGACAGCAAGGCAGTAAGACTGAATAGAAGCCATTTTAATCTATAGGATTTCTTTTGTTATCTTGTATTTTACTTTATTTTCTATCCTTTTCTGCCACGAATATTTAAAGCCTTTATCTGTGTTCTTGAATATCTAGGATTAATGACATTCTAGCCCATGTAGTATTGATATATGTTGAATAATGCTGTGCTATGAGATCTGAGGATTTCAAACAAAAACTATATTAAGAGCCTTATCTACAACTCCAGTATAGGGCTGAAACTCTTTAGTCAACTTTTGTGTGTGTGTTATTTAGTATTTCATCTACTCCATGTTTGACCGAATAGAATTGATAATCCATTATTGAATATGATAAAGGTTCAATTTTTTAAAAACAAATCGATATATTTATTAGAAAGATAGGATAAAAATCTGCAAATGAAATGTTTGACTAGCTGATATCAAAGGCTATTTTTTCTATTGCCAGAGGTTTTCACCATAGGGGACCCATCACAAGAAGTTGCCTTTCAATTGTACAAACAAAAAAGGCAAACTATCATAATATAATTAATTGTATTAGACATGGATGTTGCAAAGATGCTTTTCAAAAGGCAACTGGACTTTTCATGAACTGGATGATTGACAATATCCATAGACAGTTATACATGGATATACTTCGGGATATTAATTAGAGCAATGGAGCAATACATCACAATTGAATTTGCTAAAAAAAAAAGGAAATTCTATTTTGGGATGTATTAATAGCAGCAATAGAATCTAGTTCCCAGGAAATAACCTGCTCACTCTACTCCTCTTGGTCATTCTCTACTTGCAAAAGAATGTCCATGACAAACTGCATTGAATTCAGAGGAGACACCAAAGAAAACCAAGTCCATGAGGAACAGTTAAGGGATCTGAATCTGTGTAACCTGCAGAAGACCAAGGGGTCATATGTTACTAGTCTCCAGTACTGGAAGAGTTGAGTGGGGAAAGGAGTAGTCTTATTTATCTGTAGGTCAAGGCCAGAACCAGCTGATAAAAGTTGCAGGGATGTAGATTCAGCTTATATATAAAAAGAATTTCTTGATGGACAGAACTCTCAACTGATGCCATTGGTTGCTTTGTGTAGAAGTATAGTTGCCCTTCAACAGAAGTATTCAAATCAAATATCGAGTTGTCCAAATTCTTTAGCAGATCCTTCATTGAGCCAAAGGATCAAACTAGATGACTTATGAGCTCTTTCCAACTCTCTGGTGAAATGAAGAGTCAGAGTGAGCAGCTTCCTTTTACTGAAAGATAGGAGGGTCACTTTTCCACTGAAGAGTTCTGGTCATTTCAGTTTAGGTTTTCATTATTACTGGAGAAATTCACTTCTGAAGCTGGAACAGGTCAAATTTTTCTGTGTTTATGAATTCATTTAAAGTAAAAAGGGATCAGAGTGACTTGATAGCTTTTAGGTAAATCAAGCACAGAAAAGATTGGCTTATCTCCCGATCTTTAGTTAATATTGATTAATGCTATTTTCCCAACAGGTAGTTCTCCTTGGAGAAAAATGTTTAAAACTGTCTCCTTGAGATGCGTGTCTCCTAAATTAAATGTTGAAAAGAAATAATCCATTCATAATTATCATTTATTATAATTTTATAAAATAATTCATTTTTATAACAATCCAGTAAATTTAGCCAAGCTTAGAGAAAAGCAGCTGAGTCTCCTGTGTTGAAATGAATTTTGAACTCTAAAGACTTTCTGGATATTTGCTTGCAGAATTGGGAAACTAATACCAACTGGCCTATTTGTCATATGGAGATAACGTGTGTGCTAAACTTTTTTTTCAGATCAAATAAATAGTGTTTTTAAACTTAAAATAAGTATTGGGTGAACAGATAAATCCAAATGAAATTGTGCAGACACATCATTTATACAGTATATATTGGAGTTACCACACAGAGTTTGGATGATGGAATCTCCGCTTCTCATCTAATTAAAGGAACCAGTTGCAAGTTAATAATTGACTAGCTGTTTTCAGAAGAGGAGCTCATGTTCCCTCAAAGCTGAAAAGGAAGTGTCGCTTTGTTCATTCTGCTGCAACAGAAGAAACTGCCATGGGTAGAAGTTTATAAGAGTTTATTTGACAGATGTCTGGATTTAGTCTTATCAAGTGGATTCTGCACTGTTACATGCTCCATCTGCTTCATTATATCATCCCATCTAACAAATGAAGGTAAAAGAAGGGTGGGTACATAAGAAAATCCACAACTTTTTCCCCACATGTCATTAAATATATTCATATATATATAACCATAATATATTAGTATGCATTGTAAAGAAACATTGTCGCAAAACTATATGCAAAGGTCATAACTAAGCAACATTTACAGTTCATAATTATTAACAGGAATAATAGGAACAGAGGATTATTATCCCTGGGGGAAGGAGTTAAGGCGATGAAGGGAAGGAACATAAAGTGGACCAAGTAAAGAGAACAAAGCTGTATTACTTGTGTCTGAATGTTTCAGTTGTTCTCAGAATGGTTTGCGTTGCATTTCTTTTGTTAACATAGAGCTTGGAATATTCTCAAGAGTCCCTCAACATTAGAGATTATATCAGTAGTCTTTACAACCTTCTCATGTCACTCTTTTAAAAAAAGATGTAAGGCACCAATTGGTTCTACTGCAGATACATACATCTCACTCTAGTGATTCTTTTCCCATTCAGAAAAACAAGATGATTTCCTTTATAATTAAAATATATGTCTTAAAAGTTGCAAGGTTGTCTTACACAATGCAGGGTTGCATTATTTTAGCAGGGGGTTTAGGAAGCTTTCCAGCTATCTAACTAAGCCACTGTATTTGATAGAGCATTCTTATTCTATGCTAGGCCCATAAACTTCAGTTGTATTAGGGGTCACCTTTTGCATAACTCTTGGCCTTCAAATAAAATTATCAGCTGAAAATGTAGATGAATCTGGTTATATGCTGCCTCCTGAGAATATATGACTGCGTGGCAAGAATTATGCCTCTACCAATAAATGGCCTAAAGTATTGCAGTGGATTTTGTTTTATTCTTTTCTGTTTTTTTTTATTTGAAGCTGAAATGATCTGTTAAATAAAAGGAGGTATAGTTATGTATACAAAGCTATATTTACTGTATATAGAAGTACAGAACAAGCCCTTAATCATGTCAAGATAGACCCTATTGAACAAACAAAAAGGGAACTTACTACTGTAGGCAGAATCAGGATTGTTATAATATTTTCTAGTGTATTATATTTTTGATTAGTATATAGATTCTGCCCTCTAGCTATTTTACATTTTGTACTAATTCTACAATCAGCCTTGATTTTTTTTTTTTTTTGGTAGTTTCTTCTCCATTTGCTAGTTGATGCAACTATCACATTTCACAGCTTTTCAAAATATTTGTGTTACAGAAGGTAAGACTTTTTCAACTCTTTGAAAGAGATTAAACACCATGAACATATATGTTTTGCAATCATGTTGAATGATGATATATAGTGGTTATCAATATTTCACAAAAGCAAACACAAATTGCCTCCCACATTTCTATACAGGATTACAATGTTTGCTCCTTTGTAGTCAAGATGTGGATTTGACAACAAAGGCACTGTCATAAAAAACCAAATTTTACCAAGCTTTGCAATGAAAACACCTTGTTAATCTGAGATGTTACTCATTTGTAAATTAACATAGATTTATTTTCTTTTGAGGTGCTGATTACAAGCCAGGCCTAACGGCCCCCCCCCCAACTTATCTTGAAATATACACATTCAAGGGAAATCATTGCATCAGACTGCCCAACACATTGCATGACAATTGAGGAACACTAGAGCAATTTAATGAAATCCTGAACATTACTAGCAAATCAGACAAAGCAATGCACAAGGCCACCAAAATTGTTTTTTAGGATTTCGTGGAAATACATCGCCTGTGACATAACTGATGTTTCTGAATTATTTCTTATAATGCAATATAATGTAATGACTATTAATAATCCTGAAAATCTGTGATTAAAATTTTTATACTGTTGGTAATCTCTCTCTCTCTCTCTCACTCCAGCCTTATGCTTTGTTCACAGTTCCCCCTAGTGCTGTTACAGTTTTGTGGGCTACCACACAATGCCAAAGAATTATTTAAAAAAACAAAAACAAATAAAAACTTCTGTAAAGTCCTGACTTGTAAAAAAAAAAAAAAAAAAGCAAAGCCAAAAAAGTAAAAAAATGGCCCAAGTGTTTTAAAAAACACACAAACTAATAAATGGGGAAAGATACTCATCACTGCTGCTAATAAGTCTGCAATTTGACTCTAAATAGGTGCCTTGTTTTCCTATATCCTAGACAAACAAAGTCCAATGCAAAACAGCATAAGAGTTTTTCCTAGGACAGTGATGGCTAACCTTTTTGCCATCGCGTGCCAAAAGTGGGGGGAGCACGGGGGGGTCGCACACACGTGTGCCCACACCCATAATTCAATGCGCCCTGACCCTCTAGGCTCCCCCACTTTTGGCATGCGATGGCACGGTGGCCCCGGTATGCCTGTTTTTTGCCGTCCCCAGGTTCCAGAGGCTTTCTTGGAGTCTGAGGAGGACGAAAACGGCCTCCCCCCCCCAAGAGGCCTTCCGAAAGCCGGAAATGGCCTGTTTGCCGACTTCCGGTGGGCCCAAAAGGCCTGAAAATCAGCTGGCGGAGCTGAGCTCGTGTGCCCACTGATACGGCTCCGCGTGCCACCTGTGGCACGCGTGCCATAGGTTTGCCATCACGGTCCTAGGACATGACCCAGGAGAGAATGTGTTCATTAATTTAATGGACAATGGGTCAACATAGAAACACCTTTGTGTTTCTTAGTAAAATATGTATCAGATATAATTAAATGCCTCTTCTTCCACTTACTTTTTTCTGCTGATTTCCACAATGCTGTCTGAATAATGGATATCCTGTTATTTTGTGCCAGAGTAAAAGCTGGGTATTATTGGCTTTGAGTTCTCCACGTTTGGCTGCTAAAATCAACTGGGAATCGATCTATTGATCTTAGCTAGATCTTGAGGGATGGGTATAAAGTGCTCAGCAGCTACAAGCTTATTGTTCTTCCTCTGAGGAACCTCAACAGAAGATACGGTTTATATTGCATCTCTCATAAAGTGGTACTAGACATGGTTGATTCTTTCAGAGAACACAGCCTGGAAAAAGTAGAACTATAGAGATATTTTAAATGAGAACAAACCAACATGAAAGCAGTTTTAATTAGTTCAACCCCCTATATAGAAACTATTGTTAATTCTGAAAGGCAGTGTACATTTCTTGAGAACAATGTTTAGCGTTTTTTGTTACTCCATCATAGCTATCAATATCACATTTCTGTTAGTTTTGATAACAGCTTGCCATTTTCTGCAATGACGTTTCATGGTTACGGTTACTTTTAAGTCTTGTGGAGTGATGTAGAGTTGCTGGACATATTTTCTGTGTGTCTGAAACTAATGGCATCTGTGCACACATTAGAGATATCCAGCCTGCTTTTACCCAATATTCCTTGATTTTCTGACTGCAGCTACATTGTTTGTGTGTGCCTATGTCTATATATTTATAATATATACGAATACATACATCATTAATTTTATAAACCTAAAGCAGGGCTTTGAGCAAAAATAACAAAGGATTTCCAGATCATTGTAGTATTCATTGGCATTCCAATGAATACTACAATGATCTGGAAAGTTAGTTTTGACAAGCTCAAATATGCTGGATATCATTCCCATATGATGAACAAGCTGAAAGTAGAAAGTTGAGATGTTTTACTGAAGTTAATCCAAAAAGCTCCAGCTAAACTACACATAAGGGGCCACTATTATCATGAAGATCCCTTAGCAGATAAATCAAGATTGGAAATTATAAAATGTTTGAAAGTTGCTGCTTCCTAAGAGAGGAAACTTTTGGAATGACTGATCTCCATGTGTACCATGACGAGTTGGTAAAAATGGGCTGCATCAAAGAGTGGGATGGAAGGATGTTATTTTCTAATGTTACCCAATGTGTAACGTTTCTTGCAAGGAATAGAATAGAGAGAAGTGTCCACAATGTAAACTCCCTTCTCAGTTGGTAATCTACTACTAAAATGTGAGGCTGATTATTTACTTTTGTTCCCATTGTTTTCCAGAACTAAGCCATTTTTGGACCTTGGACATTTTTGGATTAAAATTCCTTCTGGGTTCAAAATTAGAACTGATGAAATCTCTGCTGACATAGATACCAGTACTGGGAGAATGGTCTGTGTACAGGTAGTCCTCAACTTACAACAGTTCATTTAGTGACCGTTTGAAGTCACAACAGCACTGAAAAATGTGACAACCATTTTTCACACTTACAACCATTGCAGCATCCCCATGGTCATGTGATCCAAATTCAGATACTTGGCAATCGGCTCACATTTATGATGGTTACAGTGTCCTAGATTATTTGATCCCCTTTTGCGACCTTCTGACAGGGAAAGTCAGTGGGGAAGCCAGATTCACTTAACAACCAGGTTACTAATTTAAGAACTGCAGTGATTCACTTAACAAACATGGCAAGAAATGTCATAAAATGGGGCAAAACTCACTAAACAAATTTAGCAAACGTTAGGCTCAATTGTGGTCGTAACTTTTTCTGTCGAAATTCAGCTGATAGAAAAAAGGGACGGTCCATAGGTTTCTGCGAGTGTGCAAAGCAACTAAGCCAGTGTATTCTCTTCTTTCCCAGGAACAATTTCTCTTACTCCCCCTACCATCTACTTCCCTGGCATCTGGTCACTTTACACTTATTTGTGCTGAATTTAATGCAGCCTTCCTGGTTTGCTTGCAAGGGAAGTGGAGATTGTATGAACAGAAAACTCACTTCTTGTGAACTTAATATGGAAGAGAAAGCCCACTGCCAACTTTTCTGTTTAAGGAAGTGCAGAGAATTTCTGTAGAAGAAATGTGGTAGAATGATTCCCTCATTCTAAATCATAGTTTTACAAGTAAGAAATTAAAGCTACGTATAGTAAGCTCTTTAAAACAAAACGATTAATTAGTCGGACTCTTTTTCATCTTTATAAGCAGTAATAAAACTTCTTTGATCCCCCCCCCTTCTCTTCATCCATGCATGTAGGTAAGTTACAAATCTTGACAAATTCAGCCAGTTCATAAGATGATCTGCAGTTCAGAAACATGCTTGATGAAGACAGCAGCAGTAAGATGTTGAAATCTTACATGAGATATTAATGACCACAATTGAGACACTAATGTGGAGAGATGGAATTTCATTGCACACTTTCATAAGACATGTTTCCATGGTTTGGGCGCTGAAATATTAACACAGTGTTATCTCAAGAGAAAAATCAGTATAGGATCTATCCTATGTAACTTTTGCTTTATGCAATTGAGATGAATTCCTTTTATGTATAAAGCGGTTATTATTTTGAGATTGTATTTGTTTCATGTTTTGATGAATTTAGAAAGAAAAAAATAAAACTGGTTTTCTTTTGGTGGAATTGTGTTCACAAATGCAGCACTGCAAGCAGATTTTCTAAAAAGCCAGGTCTAGTAATTTGACCCTTCTTTTAGCTGAGTGTTGACTAGTGTTCTTCTAGGTATTGCTACTCATTGGGTATCCATCATTCAACTGTTCCATAAATGCAACCTTCTTCACAATTCTCATCTTCCTTTCTTTAGGACCAAGTTGCCTTTTTTTATATGAGCAATAAGAATTTACTGTACATTTCACACATTTATGACTGCTCTCATTTACAATGGCGAGTAAGGTATGTCAGATTGCACAAGCAATCTGACATGTTCTGTAAGTTGCTGTGTAACAGATGATAGAAGAACCATCCAGCAGACTGTTATGCAGTACCCGATGGTCAATTTTTAGCCAACAATCCCGTTTGTCTGTTCTTCCTACCAACAGCAATCTGTTTCCATTTCTTGCAAGCGAAGACATAGAAGAGGATCGTTTCTGTCCAATATCGTTCTTTTCAGTGACAAGTTGTTGGTTCTTGTTTGGACTTGAGAAGTAGTTAAGGTGGTGAATTTAAGGCAGTTCATCATCCTTCAGACCAAAATGATTTGAGAAAAAAGTGAAAAAAAAGGAAATCAAAGGAGAACGGGAAGTAGTAACTGATCTAATATTTGTTACTATGGTGAGTAGGGATTTACAGTTAGTTTTCTCACTAGTTTTTGTGTGGGTTTTGTATTTATGAGGGCCAAAATGGGCATAACTCACAGGTTACTAATTCCTCACTTGTCCTCCCCACCCAGTTGCATATAAATTGCAAAGTGAGCTTCTTGCCAGTGTCCCTAATCCCACTTCATCTGCTCTGACTCGGACACGAAAGGATGTGCAGTCTTTCCTTGTCTCTGATTCTCCCTCTAGGCTTTCTTGCATTTCCCTTTCTTTTCTCGTTGCTGGAACTTTCTCAGGCGCCTGGCCCATGTGTCCCTCCATTGTATCACAAGGCTGCTTTTGTCTGCTACAAGGCCATTCTGATCTGGAGAGTTCTCATCATGGCCCAGTAACAAATATTTCTTCATAGGCTTGATCTTGGGACACTTGCAGGCAATGTCCTTGGAGCGTATCCAGAGGATCTGGTCACCACGCCGTATCCGATTCGCCCCTTGCTTGTAAACAGAGATGATGTTGACTGTGAACTTCCACCATTCTGCAGCTTTCTCTGCTTTCAGGATGTGGATCTGGACAGCTGGAGACAGAAAGTCAGGAGAAGGTCATTTCTTTAATGCATTTTGCAGTTTTCCTCAAGATCGTCAAGCACAAGTTACACTGGAAAGCAAGATTTGCATGTGTTCACCCATTACGCAGAAATGTAAGGTGATTAGGGATTTGGTATGCCCCTAATGCTTAATTCCTTGTGCTTGGCTAAAGGTCACACATTCAGTTCAAAATGAGAAGCGGTGCTTACTTTAGGATGCTTGTACTGAATCAATAATTCAATCTGGGTTATTGATTTAAAAACAGAGTAGCTCTTTAAATTAATTATTTTTTGTGCATTCTTATTTTTAAGAAAGTGAGAAAATAGAAGCCATTGCCAATTGCCTGGAAAGGAGGTGAGGAACGGCTGAACCATGTGATAGAAGTAGATCTCTGAGAAGCTGCTCTTCCTCCCCCTCAAGCCCAGGGGATAAAGCAGCCTGCAGAAGGGCAGGGAAGCATTCATCTTGAGTAAGAGCAGCACGCCTTATTCTAATCTGTCTTTCACCTGATGACAGGCCTTCTATCGCCTGGTTGCCTGCCAAGAGCTCAAAGAGACATTTGCCTAAAAGAAAACTTCCCAGCTAGCTGGTTAACAGGGTTGAGAACCTCTCACAGCAGGGAAAAGGAAGCAGCCACCAGAGATAACTCCATCTGGTTCTATTCATGGCAAAGCTTGTCCTTTGAGCCTGAAAGTTATCCCATTCAATCTCCATCCCGGTAGCAGGGAGAACACCTTTACAATGGGAGTAGGGAGAGGGGCAGCAAAGAGAGCAAGCTGCAGAGCCCGCATAAGCAGCTCCACAAGGTGCTGCTTTCCAGCAGTTTCCCACCACCCCACCATCCCCAAGGGAGACACCCAAAGAAAGCGAGCAATGTTTTTTTTTTTCTTGCCTGGACTCCTGGGGACAATACGGGCTCAGCTTTTTCTAAATGTGTCTTAGATGTGCATACTTTTGAGATGGTGAGCAGAAAAGGTTGGGGTTCCCATCCTCCTGGTGGCTTGCAAAGTTTTACCGTTCAAGAAAAACAGTTAACAACTGTAGCTTTATTGATTTATTTAAATCCCACTTTTATTATTTTTAGAAATGTTGAAGAAGCTTTCCTCTTATGGTAAAATTGTATTTCTCAGAATGCCAGCTGCATTCACAGCCTAGGCAGGGCTTCAACTATTATATTGAAGCAGAAGCTATGGGGAAATGGATAGTTTATGGGTAGAAGAATAGGGAGAGCCCAAGGAAGATGGCTCAGCTTTTAGCTGAGAAGAGCTTTCTCTCCAGAGAAAGGCCCATATCAGTAAGAAATAGGTAAGATAAACATTTACACCAAACCCTTATAATCTTGGAAAGTTTGTTTGTTATGGTCTTTATCAACTTCAATTTCCTTGCAAGATTTCTAAAGAACTACTAGTGCTGAGAACTGAACCATACCCAATAAATATACAGTACTGAAAGGAGATTGGGGCCACATCCATTTATTAATGTGCTACTAGCCAACCACCAGATGGCACTATAATACTATAGGCACTGAGAAATTGTCCCAAAGGTGCTTTTTCAAGAGGCAACTGGACTTACTTGTTTTTCTTTGAAGACGTTTTGCTTCTCATTCAAGAAGCTTCTTCAGCTCTTTACATGGGAGTAGATCTGAAGAAGCTTCTTGAATGAGAAGCAAAACGTCTTCAAAGAAAAACAAGTATGTCCAGTTGCCTCTTGAAAAAGCACCTTTGGGACGACCATGACCTGAATGACTGAGAATCTCCAAAGGCACTGAGAAATTGTAACCACTTCCCAAAACGAGGAGATACCACCTACAAACATGCTAACCCATTGAGATAAAGTCCTGCTTAATTCAGAAGTTTTCTTCTAGATACCAACAGGATTGCACTTTAAATGGCCTGCTTCTTTTCCAGCATGTTAGGCACTGTATAATGTATAAATAAGAATTCTTAATGGCTTTTGTGGTGTGGGAGAAATCATTCTGCATTCAGAATTTTCACCCATTGAAATTTCAAAGATATAGCAAAATCCTTTAAAATAGTAATGGTGGGAAATGATAACAAAATATGTTCTCCTGTTCTTATATTGAATAAAGGCAAGGTTATCACTTCCAAAGAATTCTAGGATTATTTTAAAAATCAAATTAAACCAAACTTTGGTTTCAAAAGCTATTCAATATAGTCATTTGGATTACCTTCCCATTCCTTCCAATGTGTACAAATTAAAAGCTGTCCAATTAATCTATACTGGTTCTTAGCAGTTATTCTAGTTCCTATTATTGGCAAACCCAGAGGCATTTAGAGTGGGGCAGCCTAGAAATTTAAATCATAATAAAAATAATAATGCCACCTATCTTCTCTGTAGCAACAGTCATCATTAATTTTTTTATCTTTGAAATGGGAACAGATTTTTATATATATATATATATATATTTAATTTCGTTTAAATTTAAAAATTAGACATCTTCAACATAGCTTTTACAATTGCGTGATTCATTTTGTCATCGCCTTTACGTGGTTTAGCAGATTTTGCAGTGCTCCATTCCCCTGCGGCTTATGAGCATCCTGACAGAAGCTGATCTGTCACAGAGATTCTCCCCCATAACACACAGAGGCATACAGCAGCAAGAAACTGTACTGTAGTTGTCATCCTTGGAAAATCCTCCTAGCACAAAGCTTTACGGTGTTATATATTTTGCAGAAGAGTTATTAGAATAGCATATGTTTCCTTTTGCTTTCTCTCTGCATTGCTATCCCCAGGAGTTTTGGGCTAAAACGTGGAACACTTTTTCAAAAACTTTTGAAAACATTTTTTTTTAATTTTTCCATGAACAGCTGCCTTTCAACAAAGAGGATGACTAACCAGAGTCTTCATGAAAGAAGGATTTTTCCAAATAAGTCTGTAACAGGGGTGGTGATCTCATCTTTTGAACAGGAATCCTCCCCTGCAATTTACCCTCTCTTGCACACCTAAATATATACATGCTTACTTACACACACACCCATTGTTTCTTAATAAATATAAGAACTGACTGGTGGGAAGTTCCATTGAACTGTCTGTCTCAGAACCAAAGTAAAATTAAATCATCTTCAGGTCAAACTTCATTCCTGGGGGCGTCATGTAGATACCCAGAGTTTTCTTGGGAATAGTGGTGTCTATTACCTATTTCCATTTGTTTAGTTTGTTTATTTTACATTCTAGTCTAGTCAACTTCCCAGCTCAGTCTAGAGTTCTGGAGTACCTGATGGTGTCCCATCCAAGAACTTACTAGACTTGAATCTGCAGAATGAGATCAGGCATACTGATATTGGATGATTAATTTCACCAAAAATGTTGTCAGTGCTTATTAGATGATACTAGTAAGTGATACAAGGTACCATATATATGTGTCTGCCTGAAATTCTACAATTCCAACTGCCTAGAATAAAAAATACAAATGCATGCATGTTTGCCTACGTGGTGGCTCAGTGGCTAAGAAACTGAGCTTTTCGATTGAAAGGTCGGCAGTTCAGTGGTTCGAATCCATAGTGCTGCGTAACAGGATGAGCTCCCGTTACTTGTCCCAGCTTCTGCCAACCTAGCAGTTCGAAAGCACATAAAAATGCAAGTAGAAAAATAGGGACCACCTTTGGTGGGAAGGTAACAGTGTTCCGGGTGCCTTTGGCATTTAGTCATGCCGGCCACATGACCATGGAGACGTCTTCGGACAGCGCTGGCTCTTCGGCTTTGAAACGGAGATGAGCAGTACCCCCTAGAGTTGGAAACAACTAGCACATATGTGCAAGAGGATCCTTTACCTTTACCTTGCCTACTCACGTTTATGTGGAAGAGTGGCGTATAATGGAATAAACAATGCATCAGCATTGAGAGATTAAAGAGCCCAGAAAACTAAAACCTCTGGTCTTTCTCAGTCTACATGTAGTATTACACAACCAGTTAAGAAACTCATAGTCTCCTTCTACTCCTTTTGGGTGGGATAATGACATCTCAATTGAACAGGTTTTAATGATTGCTTGAGATAACAAAAGTGTCCCCATATGCCATTGCATTTAGCTTGAACTTGACACTTCTGCTTTTGATTCTTCATATCGCTGTTTTTGAATGAACCATCAGTTGCTTCTGTATGAAGAACCAGTACAAATCAAAGATGAAAGAATTCCTACTACCCCACCACAATAGTATTTGAATGTTGCTCTGTGGTTTGGCTGTGCCTTGTATTTAATTCTACCTGTCTTTAACTAGCAGAATTTTTAGGATTGATTTGGAGTATATCCAATTTGCGGCGGTTTTCATTTTACATCTTTGTTTTTAGCCAGGCAAGTTATTTAATAAAGGTGAGTTTATATATGCAATAACAGCAAAACATGCTTTTTCTTCAGAATGTATGAGAATGTGTAGCTGAGAATCCTGTAAATAATAAATGTTTTGTTGGTGTTGGTGTTGGTGAAGGGATTTGCATAATCCCTGTCCTGGTGCTTTCTGATATGTTTGCCTGCATCTTCTAGGAATCCCATCAGAGGTGGGTTTCAACAGGTTCTGACCAGTTCTGGAGAATCGGTAGTGGAAATTTTGAGTAGTTTGGAGAACCGGTAGTAAAAATTCTGGCTGGCCCCATCTATTCTCTGCCTCCCAAGCCCCAGCTGATCGGGAGGAAATGGGGATTTTGTAGTAACCTTCCCCTGGATTGGGGAGGGAATGGAGATTTTACAGTATCCTTCCCTTGGAGTGAGGTGGGAATGGAGATTTTACAGTATCCTTCCCCTGCAACGCCCACCAAGCCACACTAACAGAACCGGTAGTAAAAAAAATTGAAACTCACCACTGAATCCCATGTCTATTAATCATGGGAAAGATGATAAACGGGCCCTTCTCCCATTGATAAATTAGATAAATTAGAGGGAGGCAATCAAGTGAGGAGAAAGATTTGATCCTGTCTCTCTTTCAATTTTACCTTCCTGGTGACCACACAGTCACACAGATGCTCTCGATGCAATAT